GGTGCAGACAAGCAGAATGAAGTGGAGATCCCGTCCCCCATGATGAAGGAGCATCAGGAGAAGCAGCAGCCTGCGTGGCAGCGCCAGCACTCTCAGCAGCTCTCGCCCCCCGCACCCCACCTCCAGCCCATGTCGCAGATCACCGGAGTCAAGAAACTGAGGCACGGCAGCAGCCTGGACAACTCCAGCATCCCCCGCTTCGGCGTGAAGAGCAATCAAGAGGACCTCCTGGCCCAAGTGGGTGGGGGCGGGGGCGGGGGCGGGCTGGGATGGAGGAGTCAGGGTTTCCTGGGAGCCTAAGAAAGTCTGGGTGTGGGGGCAGGTCACAGAGCAAGGGCGTGGGCTCAGCCAGACCCTGGCCACAGCCAGACCTCACAGGCTTCTCTGGCCTGAGAGTTGGACCCACTGTGGCTGCCTGGAGCTGGGGGGACTCCAGGGATGGATGGTATCACCCACGCCATGTCTTCTGGAAGAGGAAGCTACTGTGGGTCTTAGAAGGAACCCTGGGGGTACAGTGCTTGCTCTTTGGGCTGCTAACCTCAAGGTCACCAGTTTGAAGACACCAGCCAGCCCCTCTGCGGGAGAAAGATGAGGCTTTCTGCTCCTGTCAAAAGTTACAGTCTTGGAAACCCAGAGGGTCAGTTCTACCCTGTCCTGTAGGGTCGCTGTGAGTCAGAATGCAGAACGGCCTGGGTGATGGAGAATGATGAGTGTGTGGGTCTCAGCACGGTGGCTCACTCAACTGACACATCGAGGGAGCTTCAACACGTGCAGGGACAGTTGATATCTTTTCAGTCTATGTTTCCACACAGATTTCGTTTGGGTGGAAAACTGCAAGTGCTGGTCTGGTTTATGTATAAAGCAATAAATATTAGTACACAACAGTTTGAAGCCCCCACCCCCACCCCCTTTTACTACAGATCTCTGTATGCCAGGGACTGGTGGGTCCTCTGTTCAGTCACCTTGTGCACCTACAGGGTGCTAGGGAAGGTGCTAAGCGCTGAGCACGTACAGAAAGGCTGGGTGTTTGAACCCATTCCGTGTCAGTAGGAAGAAAGAGCTGGCCTTCTGGCCCATCAAGAGGACAGTCTAGGAAAACAGAGGAGTCAATCGGGTCAGTCGGAGTCCGAGTGGACTCGACAGCACCTCACCACGACAATGTGCTAGCGGCTCTGCTACCTGAACGGCCGGTGGTTCCAGTCCACCCAGAGGTGCTGCGGAAGAAAGCCCTGGCAGTCTGGTGCTGAAAACCTAGTCCCTGAGAACTTTGTGGAGGACAGTTCTCCTCTGGTCACATGGGGTCTCCATGATTTGGAGGGGACCCTGGGCTGAGGAAGAGCAAAAACTTAGTGACTCCGGAGGACAGGGTAGAACTTCCCCTGTCTTTCTTCCAAGGAGCCGCTGGTGGTTACCAACCGCTGACGTTGCAGTGAACAGCCCGACACATACCCACTGTGCCTGCCCCCAGGGCACCTGGATTTGGGAAAAACATGGGAAACTGCTATGCTGGGGGGGGGGGGGCAGCGGGGGTATTACATCCCGGCCTTGCCACTGGGGGCTCGATTTCCTTCTTTGGGCCTTTGTCCCCTCACAACCAGGTGCAACCAGGTGCTTAGCCCAGTGCTTGGCCGGTTGTCACACGTCACGGATGGCAGCTGGGGCCACAGGGTGGTCAGCCCAAGTAGGACACAGGAGGTCAGTTCTGAGAAAGCCCTGCCATGCTACCCACAACCAGCATCTGTTTCAAGAGCTTCAAAACCCCAGGGCAGGGTCTGGAAGGCCAGGGTGCCTTCTCTGGGACTTGGAGGCGCCTGACCTCTGCCCTTGTGTCCTCTGCCCCCACCAGGAACTGGAGAACCTGAACAAGTGGGGCTTGAACATCTTTTGCGTGTCAGATTACGCCGGAGGCCGATCCCTGGGCTGCATCATGTACACGATATTTCAGGTGGGCGCTGAATGGGGCAGGGTGGAGGTGGGGTGTAGTGGAGGTGGGGGCGGGGGAGAGGGCTCAAGGTCATCCCGGTCTGCCCACAGGAGCGGGATCTGCTGAAGAAGTTCCACATCCCTGTGGACACCATGGTGACGTACATGCTGACCCTGGAGGACCACTACCACGGGGACGTGGCCTACCACAACAGCCTGCATGCAGCCGATGTGCTGCAGTCCACCCACGTGCTCCTGGCCACACCTGCGCTGGACGTGAGCCCCGCCCACCCCATGTCTCCCGAACCCTCACCCTCCTTGAGCACCCAGCTCTGATGCCCTGTATCTCTTGGGCCCTGCCCCGGTCTCTCAAACCCTCAGGGGCTCCCCCATCTTTCTGAGCCCTCCTCCCTCCCTGCCCGCCCCCCATCTCTTCAGCCTCTCCTCCTCTGACCCCTACTTCCCTGCCTGAACTCAAGTTCTCTCTGACCCCTCTGTCCACTCCCAGGCCGTGTTCACCGACCTGGAGATTCTCGCCGCCCTCTTCGCGGCCGCCATCCACGATGTGGACCACCCTGGGGTTTCCAACCAATTCCTTATCAACACCAGTGAGTGGGCTGGGGCGGGGCTGCCAGAACCGATGGAGGTGGGGCAGGGATGGCCAGGGCTCCTGGTGGGCCCACCCCTGACCTTGCCCCGGGCCGCAGATTCAGAGCTCGCCCTCATGTACAACGACGAGTCGGTCCTCGAGAACCACCACCTGGCCGTGGGCTTCAAGCTGCTGCAGGACGAAAACTGCGACATCTTCCAGAACCTCAGCAAGCGCCAGCGGCAGAGCCTGCGCAAGATGGTCATCGACATGGTGGGCGGGGGCGGGGGCGGGGCCTGAGGGATGCGGGGCGGGGCTTCAGGGGCGGGGCCTGAGGGAGGAGGGGCGTTGCTTCGGGGGCGGGGCCTGAGGGAGGCGGGGAGGGGCTTCGGGGCGGGGTCTAGGGAGGAGGGGAGGGGCTTCAGGGGCGGGGGCGGGGTCTGGAGAGGGACCGCTGGAGCCTCTGCAGGCCAGAGGAGGGCCTGTCTTGGGAGAGGCGGAACCAGAGAGGGGGCAGGGGGGGACAAATTCAAGGGCGTGTGAGCCAGCCCCTGCCCCTCAGGTGCTGGCCACGGACATGTCCAAGCACATGTCGCTGCTGGCTGACCTGAAGACCATGGTGGAGACCAAGAAAGTGACCAGCTCGGGGGTCCTCCTGCTGGACAACTACGCTGACCGAATCCAGGTGGCATCCCCCGCCCCTCAGTCCATAGGGAGATTGAACCCTTTCCGCATCCCTCAGCACCTGGCCTGCTGCCTCTCCCCCATTCCCCATTCCTGTATCTCCCAACCCCCGCTGCCCTCCCTTCCCTGCAGCCCCTTTCCATCGCCCACCCTGCTCCCACCCACCTCTACCTCCTCCACCCCTCGTCCCTCCTACTCACCGCTTGCTTCTCCGCCACCCCGCTGCTTCTCCCCACTCGCTGACCCCCAGATGGTTGATAGGAGGCCCGGGACCGGCCTCTGAAGGCCCCCGGCCCTCGCCTGGCAGGTCCTCCGGAACATGGTGCACTGCGCCGACCTCAGCAACCCCACCAAGCCCCTGGAGCTGTACCGGCAGTGGACAGACCGCATCATGGCCGAGTTCTTCCAGCAGGGCGACCGCGAGCGCGAGCGCGGCATGGAGATCAGCCCCATGTGCGACAAGCACACGGCCTCGGTGGAGAAGTCCCAGGTACGCCACCCACCTGGCCTGGCCCGGAGCGCCTGCCGCCGGCCCTGTGGTCTCTTCTCAGCACCACCCCCTCTCTCGATGGAAAAACGTCCACGTTTTCTGGGGGCTCATGTGGAGAAGACCTGATAGGCGAATATCTATAAGGACCCACATTCGACTCCTCGTTACAGAGCTTGATGTAGTCTGAGGTCAAGGTGACCGGATTTTAACATTGGTAAAGCGGGACACCATTGATAAAACTCCTATCCTGGCAAAATAGCCACATGGCCATGGAAAACCGTATACCCTAGCCTGTCGTGCATTCTTTCCAAAAATCGGGACTTTTTAAAAACGCTGACGGACGTGGGACAAATTGTTAAAAATCGGGACTGTCCCGCCCAAAGCAGGATGTCTGGTCACCTGGTGGCCTCTTGGTTAAGTTTTGGGGCGCTACCTCAAAGTCACTAATTCAAAACCATTGGCCGCTCCGTAGGAGAAAGACAAGGCTTTCTACTACCGCCAAGTCTCAGAATCTCATAGGGGCACTTCTACCCTACCCTAGAGGGTCGTTATGAGTCAGAATTGACAAGGAGGGAGACATGGCAGGTTATGGTAACGCCCAATGATGGCAGTGAGTGGATTTAGCCGGTGAGCCCTGTCACATGTCAACCATTGTCACTGAGTCCCTGCGAACCCAGGGCAGCTGCATGCACAGCTCGCAGGGATTGATGGGACCATGTGGTTCAAAGAAATTTCCGGAGTTTGTTTATAATAAGAAATAAGGGGGGGAGGGGCGGATCACCAGGCCTCTCCTCCTCATTCTTAATCTGGAATCTCTGCTGTCACTTGTTCAGCAGCATCGCAACCCGCAGGCAGGCCTCCATCACCGTGGTAACTGCTCTCCCTAAAAAAAAAAAAAAATCCCACCCTGAACCAGTTACTGCCGCATCAGTTGACTCATAGTTGTGACTCCACGTGGGTCCCAAGAGGATTTTGATCTAGAGTGGTGTCCATTCCAGGTGGGTGATTTGTAAGTAGGTCCCCAGAACTATCTTCCTCCGAGGTGCTTGTGGGTGGATTCGAACCACCAACCTCTTGGTTGCCTGCTGAGCATGTGAAGTATCCCCACCACCCAGGGACCCGTATCGCCCCCTGGTTTTCAGCGGATTTCAAAATGAGGCGCAGTGACTGGTTCGTGTGCCAGGTGATGCAGGAACGCCGTCTCGGTTGTAAAAGACTGATCTGGACAGAGCAAACGTGCCCGTGTCTTGCCCGCCCCCTCTTTCAGGCTGCTCGTGGGTGAACGTCACCCTTCTTGCTTTGGTGTGTCTGCCCGGGCAGACCAGGTTTCTCAGCCTCAGCCCTGAAGCTCCCTCGTTCTTCGAGGCAGGGCTGCCTGCACAAGCGAGGGTATGTGAGCAGCCTCTCTCTGCTCCACCCACTAGATATCTGGAACCCTGCACTGCACCATCAAGTTGTGACAACCACAATGACCACCAGGCATTGCCGCATGTCCGCTTTGTTGTTGATAGGTGTCATCGAATCAGCTCCAACTCAGAGCTAGCCATGGGACAACAGGAGGAAGCACTGCCCCGTTCCGGCCCCACGTGAACCCATGGCCCTGTATAAATCCTTCCTCCGGAGGGTCCTTCTCCCAGGACTGGCCCCTTCTGACCATGGGTCTCAAGTGAAATGAAGTCTCGCCATCCTGACTTCCAAGGAATTTTCTGGCAGTCCTCTTTTGGCAGTCCGTGGAGTGTTCAGTATTCTTTGCCAACCCCCTAATGCAAAGGCATCGTTTCTCCCTCGTTTTTTTCGGAAGGAATCAGCCTTGTCCAGCTTTGGTTGGCACGTTGAGGGGATTGCAAATGACAGGGAGAAAACCAAGCCCACCATCCTCACTCCCACCCTTCGGGGTTTTCTACACTTGTGTTTGTAAGCCAGTTAATCTAAAGAGCGCCTCTTTCGTGTGTGTTTTGGTTTTTTCTATCGGCTGTATTGGGGATGTTTCCAGGGTCATGGAGTGGTTCCTCCGTTTCCCGCTCGGGACTCAGAGCAGCCCAGTGGATAAAAGTAGCGGATGTACGATTTAGTCATTATCCGGGTGCATTGTCAATCGTCTCCTGTGCATGTGAACGTTGGACATTGAATAAGGAAGACGGGAGAAGAACCGATGCCCCTGAGTTATGGTCCTGGCAAAGAAGATGGGCAGGATGGTGGGCTGCCAGGAGAACAGACACACCTGTCCTGGAAGAAGGTAGAGCCAGCAAGCTCCTTACAAGCCAGGGTGGCGAGACTTCAGCTCACATACTTTGGATGCATTCTCAGGGGAAACCCAGTCCCTGCAGAAGGACATTGTGCTTGGTAAAGTAGAGGGGCAGCCAGGAAAAAAGGAGGGGGGCATGGAGGACTTGCTTCTGACTCAGAGCGAGCGGCCCCACAACAGAACAGAATGGTACCCGATTCCGCGCCATCCTCCGTTGTTCTCGGGGGTGAACCCCCCAATGCAGCCACTGTGGGGGCCCATAGAGATCTTAAGTGCAGACAGAACTTTAAAAACAAAACATAACTCTCAAGACTTGACGCCTAGCTGAAAGGTTGACGGTTCCAGCCAACCCCGTGGCACCTTGGGCAGCAGGCCTGGTCACCTGCTTCCCGAAGGGTTTTGAACTGCCTGGAACAGGCTCGGGAGCAGCTCTGCAGCCAGGAGGTAGCCATCCATCGGAATAAACTTGACGGCAACTAACTGACAGGAGAGCACAAAAATTAATCAAGTTCAAGTTAACTGCAAACGCCTACCATCTAAAAGCCTAACACCACTCGACCCGGTGGTGGTGGTGGTGGTGGTGCTGGTGGTGGTGTTCAGTGCCTTTGAGTTAGTTACGACTCACAGCGACCCGCTGTGTAGCAGAATGAAACGCTGCTCCGCCCCGGACCACACACGAGTCTGTTCAAGTTCAGGTTACAGCCGCTGCCTCGGTCCCTCTCCCTGAGCCAGAATCAACTCCATGCAGTGAGGA